GCGAATGGATGGTATTCGTTACTCACAGCCGGGAGATCAGAGTGAGCCTCAAGCGTCGTGCTGACGTTGTACTAGCCCTCCAGCCCTCCCCTCTACCGCAGTATATGCAGTACCACATTGGCACCAAGACGGTCCACCTCCCAAGCCTGTGGAGGCGATAGTTGTTTCTGGTGGTTTCCATTCGGAAGCGGTTACCGGTGAGAATTTGATCTCAATGCCCGAGACCACTCCAAGCCCATCATAGGCTTGTCCGTATGCCTCCTACGAGAGGTGATGGTAACGGTATCGAGAGAAGACAGGACTCTTAGGATCTGGCGTGAGTCCTGCCGCTGTCAACGTACATGGCGACCCCCCTGCCAGGCCTCCCCTCACCCTACATGGTCTTCAGCCGGGCTTTCCTCACTGAGGAGCCTATTGACGTTGCGATCCATCCGGTCGGTGGTCTTATCATGGCAGTCGCTTTCACAGAGAAAGTCAGAATCCTAATGGTACCTCTCCTGTTCTTCCATGGAGGTCTCTGGACACCTCGACTCAGGTGGTAGATGAGGACCTCGTCGTCTTGAAGGAAGTTTTGATTACCGAAGCAGCGCCACTGGTGTGGAGTGCTGGTGGGCAGTACCTGGCTGTTGGGGATGTCGGACGAGATACCAAACAGGTCATCATCATCATCAGCTCTTCGAACATCTCCCCATACCACACTCACGTCAGGTGGTAGTCTTTGGCATGCATCGCGGCTTGGCCAAGATTGCTACCCTCAGAGTTGGACCTTCGGAAGGCAGGGGTAGATTGTCGACGTTGAGCCCCTCCACATTCCTCTATATCACTCGCTCTTGGTATTTTGATTATCATGCTACTTTTAACCCATACCACTCCTTCCGTAACTCCTGGGGTCTTCAATATATACCACACCTTCCATAACTTCTACCGCTTTAAATTCATACCACTCCTTCCGTACCTTCTACTGCTTTAAATACATACCACTCCTTCCGTAACTTCTACTGCTTTAAATACATACCACTCCTTCCGTAACTTCTATTCCCTCAAGCAACAACCACCTCTGGGTCCTCAATACCCTCACTCTACTCTCACCGTCACCACCTCACCTCTCAGGCCGAATAAGCTGCCTCCCCCAAGACAATCCAGGAGTATGTGGCCTCTCCTTCGACTCGGAAGATCGCCATCTGGCTGTTGCCTTCACCGATGTTGCCTCCTCGAGCTACGTAGGGACACTCTGGACCTCTCCCATCGATGCCTCTCGACAGGTCACCGAATGGGAATGCGCATCTTGGTCTCGGAAATGGGAGCACGTCACTACTAACGGCTGTGTCTACACTTCTATGGCCTACAGCCGGTGAGGGTGCTCCCTCCTGCTCCGGAGTTACCTCTTCGTGTAGGTCGGAAATAGTCGTAGGTGGTCTGATCACAACGCCAGGCCAAGGTGAGCATCCCGAGCTCCCGTTGAGTTGCCTCTGCCTCATCAGGTCGATCCTATCGATACCAGGGAGTCCTCAGACGTCTCCTCAACGGGGAAGTATCCATCAGTGATGGCGGTCAGTTCCAAGAACCTCCTCGTGGCAGATCGTTCACGAAGTCACCCCATGGGCCTCGACTGTGGACCTGCCCGGCGCCTTCTATCCAACAGCCCTAGCACATTGGGGTAAGTCAATCTGCTGCGCCCCTCGCTATCACATCTGCTTAGACGGCAGCCCTGAGGGGTCACCTCTTCTCCTAGTGGGCACCTCCCAGGGCACTATCGATGTTATCAGTGGACCCCACTCGAGTTGCATCGATTCTTACAACGCTCACGTTGGTCCAGTCAAAGCCCTGAATACGATGTCGGTATCCTCTCAGCTCATCTTCGCATTGCCTTCTTAGTCCTGGTGCTGGGGTGGTCACCATTGGCGATGATAGAGCTGTATTATTCTTCGGAATTGGGGAGAGTAGCAGTGGTAGGTCTCGCCGATAGAGAGTACCACTGGAGGAATATATGCTCAGTTCGGGAGTTGCCAAACTGACTATAGATGTTTGCATACGAATTAGGAGACAGAAACCAAGAAGAATTTCCCAAGACTTCTTCGGAATTTTCCACATTATCACCAATACACGTAGTTGACCATATGCGAATTTTTCCTAGTAGTAGTAGTAGTAGTAGCAGCGCCCTGTTGTTGTTCTTATTGTATCATCTTCTTTTCTAATCTCAGCCTTACAACACAACCGATCGATTCGTTTCCCAAAGGACACTCTTACCATCAGTCGAGACCGCCTCACAGTAAGGAGGTGGTCACTGAGTCGTTGGTGATTTACTCGAGGAGTGGTAGGCGGGAGGAGATGATATATCAAATGCGAACAAGATGATAGCCCAACTCGAGTGAGTCCTGTGTGTTGGCCACAACGTCGAGGACTCTGCCGCTCCTCAGGAAGGAGCTTTCAAAGACCATCGCTGACATGACTACTCAGATGAAGGAGGAGGTGTCGAAGGCTAGGGACAGCGATCGGGCAGAGACAGAGGAACTCCGAGGACGGTATGCAGCACTGGAGGCAGCTGCTGATGCCAAGGTGGGGGAGGAGATGATGGTGCCTTCTGAGGGAGTGTGTCTGGCAGGAGAGAGATGCACTGAAGAGGATGAGGGCTATGCAGACAAGTCAAGTGGAGACGACTGAGCAGCTGGAAGGTGGCCGAAGGGAATTATTGTGAACACGTCGTGGTGAAACTATACCTTGATAAATGATGATGATGGCGAGTGTCTAGTTTGAGCCTGTTCGACCTTGCTACTGTCGCTCCAGGATGTCCTAGACTGATCCCTCACTAGTAACAAGCACGACGCGGTTGTTGAATTGTTGTCAGCTCGTTATGAAAGGAAGCTAGCAGTGGGAGAGGCTCGGGTAGAGGAGCTCGAGAGACGCCGACGGCGGGATATTGAGGAAAGCCAAATACAAGAAGTAAGGCGAGTTGTGATGATGATTTTTATTATTGGAGTTTCACCCATTTTACGTGAAGTGGCGTAAAACTCCGTGGAAAACGCGATATTTGCGCCTCGCAATAGTTGTTAAATGTGTTTTTCATTAGTGTTTCTCATATCACTCGGGTGAAACTCCATCATATTCGCTTTGGATTGTCTGATGGCACGTAGTTGGTGTGATACCATTCCTTGAGTACATCCTACTCCTTTCCTGATGAAGGTTCATCATACCACGATGAGTGTGATTTTACTTTTTATATTCATAATGACTGATTTTCCATTTCTTTTTTTTTACAAAAACTGTATTTTTTTATTTTCTTCCATTGATAACAGTAGTTGATTATATTATCACCAGGCTGAGCAGCGCGATCGGTCGAAGCGAGAAAAGAGAATTCTTCGAGAACAGTTTCAAGCTCGTCTGAGGCGAGCCACGGAAGCCCATGAGGCCAGCCAGGAGTTGGCCGAAGATCTCAGGAAAAAGTAAGTAAAAAATAATGCGAATTTTGATACACTATGATATGGTGAGATATGAAACTATGTTGGAAATGGAGACGAATGAGAGGGAAATTGAAGTTAATAAAATCATCTGCGAGAAGGACGAGGAAATTAGAAAGCTCACCCAAGACGGTGAGTGAAGTGGACATCCTCGCTGGGTAGTGGTTCTTATAGCTGAGCAACGCCTTAAAGAGAAGGAGGAGCTAGCTAAGGGCATACAGGCGATGCAGCAAGAGAAGCTGAGGTTGGCAAACGAGTCGGCTGAGGCCTCCAGCGTTATGGATGCTTATAAAATCAAGTTGGAGGACCAATCGAAGAGGTGACTTTTCCAGTGTGGGGGGAAAAATATGCACATGGTCAACTACATGCGTCAAAACTATATTTTGAGAAATTATGGTTGACTTTTTCATACTTCTACCCATGGATTTTCATAATATCGTGAGAGCTCAGTTGAAGAAAACCAAAACATATATTCTCATATTGGGCTTGTTCTTTAGGGGGGGGGGGGTCGGATAGGGATTAAAATCCTTGCCGTTCAGAATAGAAGCTTTGCAGCAGCAGAGTGGTGAGCACGTCCGAGGTCGGCGACAGATGGAGGAAGGGGTCCGGGCCTTACGTGAGAAGGTGGAGTCGGTGACTAAAGGAAGGACAGTTGTCGAGTACCGACTGCGCGAGGTGAGTCAAGACGCCTCTTGAGGAGCCGACAGGGGCTATGGCAGATTAGCGAGTCGGTGGCCCCTAAGGACCAGGAGATCAAACGACTCCGGAAGAGGCTGGTTGAGACGCAACAGGAGCTAGAGGAACAGGTGGGGGAGGGGATGTCGAGTATTGTAGAGAAATATCTTCTCTCTTCGTGTGTGGGGGGGGGGAAGCATGTCCTCGTACGCCGATACGATTATGCAATTTTGGGGTAGCGACGTAAGGTCAGCAGCTCGGCGGGGATGTTGCAGCAGATGATTAAATTAAACCATGGGTTCACGCTTAGAAGTTCTCGAAGACTAACGTGTGGAGAATGACTTTCATCACCTCTGCAGATTTCTAGAACCTCTCTAGTAGTGTATGCTAGGGCTATACCGTGGTTGTTGATAGTGATTGACGACTTGTGATTACTCATAATTCGTATCATTCACGTGGAATAGTATTCTGTTTAACGAGAGGCTCTTTATGGAGCTGGGAGCAGTGTATAGTCAGGCGAGACTGTTGAGGAAGCTCGAGGATGATGTCGAGCGGAAGGCTCATCTTGCTGTTCACCATCGACAAGAAGTGGTGATGCTTAATGAGGCGATAGTGGAGGGGAAGAGTATATTTGGGCATCATCTGTATCCACCACGCGTGAACCTAAGATACGCTGTTGGAGCTGAAGAGAGAGCTTTCGACAGTAGTGCATCATACGGATATGAAGGAGTGGCCTAAGCTCTTGAAGAGGATCTATCACCAACACGTTGTCGGCGGCGGTAGGGATGGTCACCAGGCTAGGATAGATCATCATTTCTAACACTTCAGAGGAGACCCCAGCAAAGCACAGTATCGCAACTCGACAAGTGGGTGGTGACAGTGGGGGGGCACTTCTATCATCTTATTGGCGTTCGGCAGACGAATATGATGAAGTCGGCACAGTCCACATCTGAGCCTAGGGAGAATCTTGGCTCAGAGGAAGCTCAACGCCAAATGAAGGCGTTGGATAAGAGGGTGAGCACATGGGATGGTTTCGGACTTGTTCTGTATCTTGACGACCCTCGTGTAGATTGTTCTATATAAGATCACGATTGTCTCTTGTGTCGTACATTGATATACAATATTGAGATGTGTGAGTCAGTTGCACAGCCTCACTAGACAGTCTTCACGCGCTAATGCAGCCAGCAGACGTGACCTTAGTCGTCGAGCTACTGAGAACGCAACCCTACTGAACGAAATCAACGGCAATCGTGTTCGGAATAAGAACCTCGAGGATAAAGTGAGGCCGCCTGGATGAGCTCCTGGTGAGCCGTCGTATAGTCGCCATCAGGTTAAACTACTCGAGTTGGAATTGAGGGATCTTCGTGGGAAGTATCAACAGGCTCAGGCAAGGAATAGAGAGAAAACTAATACGAATACTTCCTTAGGAGAGAAGAAAGGTAAGTGGTCTCGTGGATGAATCCTCTGAGAGGGAGGGAGATCTATGTCCTCAGCAGATCTTTCGAATAGCAAAAAGGACCGGCGGGTCCATAGTTTGAGGAGCCGACAGGAAAATGAAGAGACGGATAAACTGCGACACATGGTTGAACAGCAGACAGACTTCATCCGCATGCAAAGGTTAGAAGTGAAGATGTTGCAGGAAAAGGTAACAGGTGACGCTCGTTGGTCATGGAGGTTACCTTCCATGAACCTCGAATAGTTCGTTCAACAGTGGTGATCGGGCCTGTTCCGTCCCAGGTAGAGTCGCTATCGAAGAGGAAAGAAGTGGAGAGAGCGTCATCATGAGTCTGTCGTCATGTCTCCTGTTACGTCACTACCTTATTTTTCGCTTGCGTTACCATAGTGCCGAGTAGAATTCCACACAAGATTCCCAAGCTCAACTTTCCACACGCGGCTTTGCTCGAATGTTTAGTGGGAGATCACAACACCTATGGGACTGGTTCCTCATCATAAATACCGGATCGAAAAGTCCGAGGGGCAGCTCTTTTTCACCCCCTGATGGTCTGCAAAAGGACTTGGACCATAAGTTGACATGTAAGGCAAGTTTCATGCCGCCTTGAAGTCACACCCACCCTGTGGATGCATTGTCTACCTTTAAGAGCACAATTGCCAAGCTTGCCTGTATATTGTTCATCTTTGTGACAATACTGACTTTTCTGCATGTGATTTACTCGTGTCGGACTTGCATATATATTTGTTGTTCTTGCTACGAGAAATGGTATGGAGGCTCAAGCTGTACCTCACAGCACATGGACTTTCCTGAGTGGCCCCTCGTGGGTTCATCAATGATGTGCCCGTTACTCGTATAACACAAAAGAGATATTAAAAAATGAATAAAAGGAGCCGATAATGAACATACTCTTTCATACGACTGAATATGACGTAACAACAATTCAATGCTCATCAGC